CTAAAATTATTGAGCCATTAAAAAGACAAACATCAAAACTAGGTCAAACTAATTAATTAACGATCCATTTGTTAATTAACTTATTGAAAACAAATTCAGTTTGATCCAATAGATACATGAAAAAAAGGCAAAAAAGCGAGGAAAAAGACGAGGAAAAAGGCGAAGAAAAAGGAGGAAAAAGGCGAAGAAAAAGGAGAAAAAGGCGAAGAAAAAGGCGAGGAAAAGGTGAGAAAGCGAGGATACAGGCGAGAAAGCGAAGAGAAAGGCGAGCAAGCGAGCAAAAGGCGATGAAAAGGGCGAAGAACAGGCCGAGAAAAAAGACGAGGAAAAAGGCGAGGAAAAATATAATGTTTACATAACGGCGGCCACTTCAAACATGTTACACATCATAAAAGGAATACAACAATCAAATGCGGTGAAATCTTTAACTAATTAATCATGTAAATTGCTTTATTTCATCACACACCAAATCAAAGGAATTAAAGGTGCCCTCACATCATAGCGTTTACTAGTTACGTATGGTTGCGAATAAGTGGTCATCAGAAACGCAACTTCGCTATGAGATGATTTAAAAAGGGGTTGTTATCACAATACCAATTGAACCATAGCAATGGTATTTTACAATTACAAATACAAAAGTCGTGGCCACGAGATACTAAGTCGTGGCCACGAGATAAGAATTTGTATTATATGTCCCCTCTATGCTTCTATAAGATTACCATAAATGCATGGCTATAAATGAAATTAAGCATCAGTTTTTGTTCCTCCCTTCTTTAATAACAGATATATTCAGTCCCATGACCAAGACATAGGAAATCGCAGATAGTTTTATGATTTATACAACTAAATCTTATCTCGCAATGGAAACCAAAGACCTACTCTGAAGGGCTTCAATTGTTTTATTTTTAGATATCCACTCCATGGATGGATCACGGTTGTTCAATGAAAACTTGCGCATCGTTCTAAAAAAAATAAACCAACGAAAGAAAAAGAAATGTTTCAGTATATCGATTTAATGTCAACATATGTTGAAACATAATGACGCATATATTTTCCTGGTAAACTAATTTATGACTTTTTAAAACGGGCTTTAAATAAAAGGAATGACAGCTTTCTGTAATTGATTATATCAAATAGGACAACATATCACAAAATATTCATATTTCAATACAATTATGAGGTTTTATAGGCGTTATAGTCTAAAATCAATGTTCTATACATGAGTTGGTGGAAATTTGAATCATTTCATCATTTGGATATATAAAGATTTGAATTACTGATATGAATTTGTTATTAATCCAGAATTTAGAATGGTGAAACCAAACCAATATACAACATAATTATGTACAATATACATGTAATGTGACTAAACGTTCTTGATAAACAGCCTTGTTATTGTTTGTGATTGAGAATACAGTTACACAAGATTTGGATTAGTGAAAACTGAAACTAGTGAATATAGTGATTCTCAGAATGAATTGTGGTTTAGCACAGATATTTGTAAGTGCATTGATATTGCTCAACCTGTGAAAAGTTCTATTTATCCTCCTATACGTTTATTCCAGCTGCCGCAACATCAGTTACTTTAATAAGCTTTAAGTTATACCGGGAAGATTAATATGGGAAATAACGAGTCACAACCGAAATCTTTTATAACTCAAAAAACACAAAAACTGGTTCAAACTGCTAAATCTGGAGGTAAACCTGCCAGTAAAAGAAAATCAAAAGGGTATATTGCTATTGAAGATGAAAGTGCATCTAATTTGGACAAATTGGATTTAGCTGCAAGAGTTGCTAATCCAGCTGATTTTGTGTTTCCGTTTGAAAACTTGGTCTTTTCGGGTGGCGGCCTGAATTGTATGGCGTATTGTGGATGTCTGGAGGTTTGTATCTTTTTTTTTTATCAATTACTCTCTTTAATTAGGTGGTAATTTTTGGACGAAGTCTCCCCCCCCCCCACCCCCCCCTTTNAGGGTTGGGAAAGGTTTTATTTTGATATGCAAATCAAACCCTTTTAATGGTCGAAATTCATCTTAAGCCATCTGAAATCTGTTCGGCAGTTTCCGGTAAGCTGAAGCTG